TGTTTAGTGTATATATGGGCACATAGGGATTTCTGCACGTGCATTATAGTACCTTCACGTTCCTACATGATTTCTTACAGTTGAGAGTATTTTTATTTTAAAGTGATCCTTCTATTTTAGTTGGTGGCCATTTATGAAGTTTTAAAGGATGATGAACGAAGGCAGAGGTGAGTGCTCATTTCTGCTTTTGAATTAAGATCTTATAGTTTCATGCCATAGTTTATAAAGGAAAGAATTAAGTCTCATGAAACATTTTGTTTATTGTAAATTAGTATTTTGTTTTTGTTCCTTCCAAGAAATGCAGTGTTTTTAAAATACACGTTTGGAGCAGAGTTAATTTCTATTGAAAATATTCTCTAGGTTGATTTGATACTTACAGGCTTCAGAATCATGAGTCATAGCGTTAGCAAGTCCTGGCTTCATTAGGTAAGATTTTTAACGTGGCTGTTTATGCCCTGGGAAATACAAATAGCACTTGACTTCAAACAAATGTCCATTCTTTTCAATATATCAGCAATGGCTCCTATCTGAGCTTGGTGGTCTTTTTCCCCACTATTCCTTAAATGTTTGAGATTTAACTGTTAGTGATAGTCGAGTTAATACCCTTTCTTGATGTTTCCTCACTCTCAGAATAATAAATCCAATTATATAAGCTCGTATAAGCCTGTAGAAGATAGGGGTGGAAGAAAAATATTTGCCTCTTTATCTTGTTTCTTTTGCTTCCTTCCCTCTGTTCCCGTGATTCTGCATTTAGGGTTAAACTTCAGAGTGGAGGCAGCCCCTCACTCTAACACTTCTGTGTGCCCCTTTCAGAAGAGGGGTAATATATTTATATAGTGGTTCATAATGCCAGTGACTTAAGAGGAGATTGCAGAGGGGCTCTTTCCTCTGCTGCTACAGAATGTATGGAATGTAGACATGATTGTGGTGGGCTTCAAACATTTTTAAGTCAGACCTCAGTAAGAAATACATTTTGCATCATGCCTCAGGACACACAGACACAAACAACTGAAACAAAAGTTTCACAAAACTTCTTACTGCGTGTGAAACATACTATTTTCTATTCTAGGCTAGTCTAAACTAGCCTTTTTTATTTCTAAACAATGCTGGTTGTGGTCCTCTGAGTTAATTTCACAAGACGCTAGTGAGCCACAATCCAAAGTGTGAAGATGTTGCTCTATAGTAACAGTGCCTTAAAATAAAAACAACCTAGGTATTTGAGATTTAAGCTAAAGATAGCCTAAATGTCTGTATGTCTCTATGAGGGCTAATACCTCTTAAAGACACCCCCCCCAAAATATGCTATGCGACATTCTGAATCTTCAAATGTATTCTCTGGAATTATTCTATATTCTAAAATGTTAGCTGTCCCTCTTGTTTCTCATCTTAAATCTTTAACTTGAATACCTCAGTTTGTCAGATTGCAGAGCAAGGATTCAGCATATTCTCTTAAAGTGTTCTTTGCTTTATAACAAGGGCTGGCATTGGTCCAGATACCATAGCAGACATTCCTCTGGTTTGAGATAATCCATAATGTTGAAAGAGTCCTGGAAGTGTGTTGAAAGAATTGTTGGTCATTCTGTGCATATTTTCTAGTTGGTTTCTCTCAGTGAGCCCCTAGTTTTGTTTCACACATCAAGAATGTGTCTGTAAAGATAGCTTTATTTAGTCTTCTAACATCTTTGGCTTCAGATTTTGTCTTTTTGTTTGTTATCTTAAAAGTCAGTAAAGTTTGTAACAATTTCTTTCAATTACCAAAATTATTTCTATCTTTTCAAAGCAAATCACTTCTTAGGTATAAATTGCTTCTTCATTAACATGGAATCATCTAACATTATCTCTTAAGGATTAGTTCCCTCTGCATTTACTTTGGAGTGTTGGTAGAAAAAATGGATTTGACAGTTACACAAACAGCTGTAGTATTTATACACCCCGAGGAACAAGTAACTCTTTGGTAACTGGTTTTCCTTGAGGCAAAAGTCTTAACTAATCAAGCTAAGAATCACTCCTCTAAAGCTTGCACCTGAGGCCAGGTGACCTGTGAGTATTTAAACATACAGGAGAAAGGCATCTCTGCAGACAATTACCTAATGTTTATAATTCCTTTAGAAAAAAAGCACAGTCAGCTTTATCCTCTAAAAGAAGCTTGTCTCATATTGGCATTAAAAATGCTTTTTGATATCCCAATTATTTATTATAAATATTCATTGAATAAGTCCTTTTAAGTGCATAACCTTCTAGGAATTCAGTTTGGAAAATTGCCATAGACATATTTCCTGTTTATTTCTCTTACATATAATTATGTTTTCACTGAAATCAGTTGCATTCTTTAAATTTTGGTGGAAAAGGGAATAGCAATGAAATAGATAAATTAACAAACTGGATAACCTTTTTTTTTTTAAAAAGAAAAGGCAAGTTTTATTTTTTAACAGCCTTATTTAAGATAGAATTTGCATACCATAAGAAGTCTCCTGTTTTAAGTATACAATTCAGTGATTTTTTCAATAAATTTACGGAGTTGTGCAAACCATCACCATAATCCAATTTTAGAACATATCACTTCAAAAAATTCTCTCAACCCATTTGCAGGGCATCCCCATTGTAATCTCCAACCCCAGGCAGTCAGTGATCTACATTGTGTCCATAAATTTGTATTTCTGGACATTTCATATAAGCGGAATCATGCAATATGTAGTCTTTTGCATCTGGCTTCTATTAATGTAATAGGTTTTGAGGTTCATCCATACTGTAGCAAATACCAGTAGTTCATTCTTTTTAATTGCTGAATAGTATTCCATTGTGTGAATATATTAATACTACTTTTATTTATTCATTCACCAGCCGATGGACATGTGAGTTGTTTCCACTTTGGGGCTATGATGAGCAATGCTGCTACCAACATTCACATATAAATCTTCTTGTAGACATATGTTTTCCTTTCTCTTAGATATATTTCTAGTAGTGTAATTGTGAGTAAACTTTTAAGCCTTTTTCTCTCCACAGGCATAGACTATAGCATGAAAATATAGTCACATGCCTCATAATGACATATTAGTCAATAACGGGCCATGTATATGATGCTGGTCGCGTAAGATTATAATTCCGTGTTTTTACTGTACCTTTCCTATGTTTTGATTATGTTTTGCTATACAAAAACTTACCATTGTGTTACAGTTGCCTACAGTATTCAGTACAGTATGTGTGTATGGTGGCTATGTATACCATCTAGGTTTGTGTAGGTATGCTCTATGATGTTCACACAGCGACGAAATCACTTCACAGCACATTTCTCAGAACATATCCCCATCGTTAAGGGACGTGTGACTGTAACAGTTTTCCTGGTTGGTGTAAGGAAACCTAGCATAGCAGCCTTTTCTAAACTCCTTAGCTAACTTGTTTATTTTGGGGAACAGTAGCCTAGCAATGTTTCAACATTTTTTTTTTTTTGGTTCTTTTTTTTTTTTTTTCCCCAGCATATTATGGGGGTACAGATGTTTAGGTTATGTATGTTGCCCTTGCCTCCCCACTCCCCGCCAAGTCCGAGTTTCAAATGTGCCCATCCCTTGGATGGTGAGCATTGCACTCTTTGTGCATGCAAATACCCGTCCCCTCCTCCCCCCTCCCCGACATCCAATAGATGTTATTCTTATATGTACACTTATGTGTTGATCAGTTAATACCAATTTGATGGTGAGTACATGTGGTGCTTGTTTTTCCATTCTTGGGATACTTCACTTAGTAGAA